ACGCCCATCTTTCTTTCACGGAGCAGCTGGTGGATTCGAACAATCAACCTTCCAATTAGCAGACCAATGCACTACACACTATGTCACCAGGGGTCCCTCGGCTGCTAATCAGCTCAACTCAAGGCTGTCCAGTCAGTTCCGAGCTGACCTTCCACTGAGGTTTGCTGCTATTGTTGTCAGAACTGACCCATAGCTGACCCTCCGGCGCGCTTTCAGAGACAGTTAATCGCACAGGAGGAGATCGCCAATCCTTGTCCAGTGGGGTGCCCCGTGGAGGAGAATCGCATGCCTTCGGGCTTGCGGTGCAGCTTCTTGCCACGAGGCCACCAGGTTTAGAGGCTGCAGAGGGCACAGCAGGACACTGCCCATGTCTCTCTGCTAGAGTGGCTCATGGATTCAAACCAACAGGGTGGGGTGGCCCTGGCTCCCTACAGTCCACGCTACTAGGTCTCCCTCAGCACCTCAGGAAGGGCAAAGAGGGGCGATGCTACAGAACTTCATCATCAGGCCCCTCTCCTCCCCATTCCCCAGCCCCACCCACAGCAGAAGCCCCAGCACACGAGGTAACTGGTGAGATGGGACCGCTCAGAGTGGACCCCCACAGAGAAGCAGTCCCTCAAAGCAGAGTGGACCCCTCTCATAGAAACAGTCCAACAAGGCCGGACCCGGTTATGTGGGGCCATGGCTCGCGCTCCCACACTTGCTGGTCACTAGGGTCAGGGAGGGGGGCACTGTGCCCATCACCAGGGTGTGGGAGGGGCTGCTGTTTGCGTGTGACACCTTCTCCCTTTGTCTAGCGGAGAACAGGAGGAGCGCGTCACCATGTCACCTGCGTGACAGGACACAAGGGGAAAACCACAGCTCTAAACAGTGGGCGTGGTCACAGAGAGCAGTGCCAGGGCTGGCCTTCCCCGCTGCTGCCCACCACACCCAGAGGCTGGGCTGGCTGTGGGCAACACGTGGATGAGGGGCTGCCTGAACTTGCCAGACAGTGTGAGTGTGAGGTGAGCGTGTGTACATGGGTGTGCGGTGCTTAGGGGTGTGGTTCAGCGTGAGTGCGTGTGTAGTATGTATATTTCTGTGATGTGTGTTGCTTGTAGTATAATATGTGCATGTGTGAATTGTGTATGGATGTATGGCTTGTGTGTTTATGTGCATGTATGTGTGTGTATGTGGCAGGCTTGTGTGATGTCATGCACGTGAGAAGTGTGTGGGTGTACGGTGAGTATATGTTTGGGTGATGTGTATGTAGCATGCAGGGTGTATGTAGTGCCCATGTGAGGGGTGTGTGTGTGTGTGTGTGTGTACTAGGTGGGAGGACAGTGAGAGGCCCAGGCAGGCACAAGGTGACCAGACTGGGGGTCTGGAGTGGTGATTGAGGTGGATGGCCGAGGACAGTTGGGTAGGAAGACACTGAAGCCACCTGGTCCCTGCTCACTCTACCAGTAAGAGATGCTGATCAGATGTTCCGAGTACAGACACTCTGCCTTGTGATGGGCACAGCCTTGGGGACAGAGCCACTTGTCCAGGGTCCACAGCAGCTCCCAGGAGTGGGAGGACCTGGGCTTAGAGCCAGGAGACCCATGTCTGTCCTGGAGATATTGTCCCAAGTTAAGGGGGCAGTGGTGGCCACACTTCACCTCTCTGGGTTGACAAGGGGGCCGGGTGCTCAGGCCGGTGTCCACCTTTGGGGCCTGGAAGCCAGCATTCTCCCTCTTCTACTTCAGCTTCCTTTTCTCGGGGACCATCAGATTACTTTTCTGGGTCCCAACTGCCCTTTTGGACTGGGATGGAGGACAGAACCCCAACAAGGCTAACAGGGGTCTTTCTCTCTGTCCCCAGACTCCCGGGTGAGGACTGTGGGTTAGGGAGCAGAAGTTCAGGCAGGGAGAGTAACAGAGGGATGGAGCGAGTCTTTCTACTGAGTAGGCAATCCCTGCATGCGACTGGACAGGCCCTGGCCTGTTTCCTTGGGCGTAAACAGTTGTCAGACTGCACAGCAGTGATGAGAACATAATCAAACAGCACTCACGCAGGCAGCTGGCAGGGGATCTGCTCGGACGTCAGCTGTGTGTCTCCCTCTTGAAGTAAACTCGGTGGTCTGAAAACCCTTCCCCAGCCATGTATGTGTGAGCACGAGGGTGTGTGCATGTGAGTGTGTGCTCATGCACGTGTCTGTGCACGCACGGGAGTGTGTGTGCATGTGTTCATATGCATGTGTGTGGACATCTGTGTGTGCACTGACTGTATACACATGTGTGTATGCACTCATGAGTGTGTATGTGTGTATGTATGTGTACACAAGTGTGTGTGCGCGTGACTGTATATGCAAGTGTGTGCACGAGTGTGTACACATGACTATATGCACGTGTGTATGTATGCAGATGAGTGTGTGCAGGGCTGTATACTGACAGGAGTGTGTGCGCACTTGTGGATGTGCACACACTGGTTGTCCACTTCTGTGTCCTCTCTCTCTGGTTAGCGTGGCGTCCCCTCCCCCTCCTGCCGTTCTACCACCAGAGCTTCCAGAAGCGGCTCACAGCTAAGCCCCAAACTGACTGTGGCGGAGGCACTGCCGACTCCGGTGACCCTGGAGGACAGAGTAGAACCCCAGATCTTCTGGTCAGTGCCAAGTTCTTTAATTGCTGCACTATCTGAGCCACAGTGACCTGCAGGACAGCTGCCCCCTGGGGTCTCCAAGGCTGTGGATGTCGCTGAAGCTGACTGCCTGGTCTTTCTCCCTTGGAGAAGTGGGTGGGTTTGAACCATCCGCTTTTCTGGAGCAGCAAAGCGCTCAGCCAGCGGGCTACCAGGCCTCCTCCCTGAGGCCAGCTCCTGGTAACTGTCTTGCTCCATCTCTTCTGCTTACTCGTAACCATTTCCCTGAGTGGTTCTGAGGCTGGTGGACACGGGGAACACCCTTGCTAGCTGAAAAACTGGATGTTTAAGTCCACTCAGAGGTGCTTTGAAGAATGGCCTGGCTGGCCTGGCTATCTAGGACCAAGAACACAGCCTCTGAAGACCCCAGTGGATGGTGACACCACGGCACGTAGGACGAGGGCCAGAGTTCCTTCCTCCACAGCTGGTAAAGCAACTGTAGGTGTCCAGTGGGATGTGAGAAACAGAATCACTTACAAAGTAGCTCACTCTAGCAATAGGGCCACTTCCGCAAAAAAGACCAGATGGTAACTGACAGTCCCACTCTATCTGGAGTCATGACCACATGCTTCATGAACATCACAGAAACAAAACCAAGACAGATAAGATAAGATAAGGTCTAGGAAGTACGTGTCTGTGCTGAATGAGAGCTTGTTTGGAGGGGCAAGCAGGGGAGCCCAGCTACTTCTATACACCTGACCCCAAGCACAGTCCTCTTTCTAGAGGGGAAGGTCGTCCTCTTTAGCGGAGGCACAGCTGCCTCGCCGGCCAGAGCAGCCAAATCAACCCTGGTGACCAGTGGGGTGACAAGTGTCGCAGCCAGATCACCCTCACATCCTGAACGTGAACTGCCGAGAGGTCAGTGCCAGTTCAGGCAACTTGTCCGAGCTCCGTAGAAGAGTGTGAATCCTGCATGGATATTGTCAGATGCTGGCAGTGAGCGGAAGGGATCCCGCCTGGGGCAGCTGGTCCCCACAGTCCTGCCGTGTGAGCCCCGGTCCAGCCACACTGTCAGCCCATCTCGTGCAGGGTCCTCCTCTTTCTGACCTCTACTCCACTGAGCATCTGTCCTTCTCCAAGGACTGGTCCCTCCGGATGACCCAGCCGAAGCCTCACTCTCCTGGCTTCCAAGGAGCCTCCTGGCTGCACCGCAGAGAGGACGCTGGATTCCCAGCCTGTGATGTAACATCTATTTCACGAAGGGTCAAGTAAAAAATCGGAAGGCCACTGGGATGCAGGAAAAGGGCAGGCCGGAGAGAGAGGGCACATCTCCTTCACCACAGGCCGCTGACTCCACTGGCCTCAGAGCCCCGAGCCCACTGCCTTGGGATGCTCAACCACAGTCACCCGGCATCCTGGCCACCATCTCTGGTCATACTTGAATCCGCCTTGGGGCCCCCACATGGATGTGCTTCCCACTCTGTCCCCTTCCCATCAGGCCAGGTGCACTCACAGGTTCTGAGGAGGCGGGTCCAGCCCACCCTTGGAGCTGGGAAGCCTCCAGCGAGACACAGAGCTGTCCTTGCAGGTAGGCTGCCCAGAGGCCCCATGTCTACAGGTGTGAACACCTCCACCTGACGGCTCCTCACGGCACGCGGGACCTCTCAGCCCCAGCCAGCGGCCTCCTCCTCCCTGCGTGCCTGACCAAACATCCCAAGTCCGGCCCTTGGCTTTCAACTCTCTGGCGGAGTGCCCCCTGGGGCGGCTTCTTCACCCAGTGCCCATCATAAACCTGCCCCAGGAGCGGCACATGCAGCATGAGCGCCAGCACACCTCAACTCTCCCCAGGACCCCGGCGGAGGACCGGGTGGCGGGCGGGTGATGCTGGCATTCTGCAGGGGAGGGCAAGGCCCCTCCCGGCCTGCTGGCTCCGGCCGGGCTCACCTGGCCTCAACCCCTCTCTACCTGGGAGCCTGTTAGCAAAGTGAGAAACCAAGCGAAACAAAAACAAGTCCTGCTTGGGCCGCAGACGCGACCTGGGGCGTCCAGTGCTCCAGCTCTGGGGCCACAGGGGCGCCGTGGGAGGCGGGGACAAAGCGCAAAGGCGGGAGAGGGGGCTCGGGCCGACCCCCACGCCCCCCACCCGCTCAGCGCCGCGGGACTCGGGGGTAAGATGTCCTGCCTGGAGCCCAGAACCCCCAGGGCCTCCAGGTTCAAGGGGTGAGGAGTGGGGTGCAGGTGTGTGAGTGTGCAGGGATGGGTGCGAGTACGGGGTGGAGGGGGCGGGGGTGCAGGGGCGGGATGCGCGCGGTGAGCCCTCCCCGCCGCCCCCAAGGTTAGGGGGTCGGCCGGACCCCCCAGCCCGCTCCAGCCCGCGGGGCGCTCACCCGAGCGGGGATCGAAGGTGACCACGAACACAGCCACCACCTGGTCCTCCTCCACGTCGCCCAGCTCCAAGCGCCCGGGCTGCAGCAGCACCTCGGGGGGCCCCGGCTCCTCGGGCCCCCGAGCGCCCCCGGCCCGGCCCCGGCCTCCGGCC